CTACCGCCCATGCGTCGCCCAGTACTTCTCGGCCTAGGACTCGTCCGTCTGCTTCCCACGCGCGCCAACCGCCTAGCCCTAATCCTCCAAGGAGTCTGCTCTCGGCTTTGCCTATTCCTACTAGGAATATGCTCCCGGCTACGTTGTCTGATCTTCCGAGGATTACTCCCGTCACCGATCCTTCACGCATGTTCCGGCACTCAGTTTCTTTTCCTATTCCTACGGGGTTTTGTATTCGCGCCTTACCTATTCCTACGAGGATTAGGCTTTTCCCCTTGTTCTTGCATTTTGCCTCGCGCGTGTCGCCTTGCGCCCTTCGCTCGTCGTCCAGCGTCCCGCGCTCGACCATCGTGGTCCGCTCGCCCGGCCACCCCTCGCACTCGCTCGCGCGCCTATGCGCACTCGTTGTCCATCCGCCGCTGCCATCCGCGGATGCTGATGCTTGCGCATTGCCCGACCATCCGCAGCAGCCTCCTTTGCGCGCTAACCACCCTGCATCCACCCCCTGCGCTCCACTTCGCCTAATCTCCAAGCGCCATGCGCGTCTACGCCAATGCGCGTGTGCGCGCCCTTGCTTAATGCACCACTCCGTGCGTGTGAGTGTTGCTAGCCTTGAGACCATCTTCTTGCGTGCCCTCGCGCACCTCCATGCGCGACCCTCATTAGCCGCTTTGTGCGCTCTTGCATCACGTCCATGCACTTCTCGATCCAAGCCCGTCCGCATACGCGCTCGTACCCGTCTTTTAGGCCATGCATGTGTTGTTTTGGCCCTATTTTCAGCCTCCTCGGGTCCTCTCGGCTTTTGGACCTTTTCGTCGTCGGGGCTCGAAACCCACTTCCGTATCACAGTGGCCAGTCGCGCCCGGCAGCGCCCAGTTGCGCCCGGCAGCGCCCAGTCGCACATCCCAGCGCCAGTAGCCGTTGGCCGTGCAAAGCAAAATGCCGATAGCCGTCCCTAGCGCCCACGTGGTGCCAGTCGCACCGCCAGCGCACGGACCATGGCCAGTCACGCACGGGCCGGCGCTAGTAGCGCCCGGCAACGCCTAGGCCGTGCCCAGTGTGTGTGCAACCGTGTCGGTGGCCCAGCCAGCGGCCAACCGTCCGGCCACAGTGAGCCGGCGGTCCGGCCGGTCCAGACCGGTTACTTGAGCGGTTCAGGACTCAGTAACCCGGTCTGAGTTCAGTCATGATCAGTCATGTTCAGTCAGTTCAGTCATGTTCAGTCAGTTCAGTCATGATCAGTCATGTTCAGTCATGATCAGTTCAGTCTCGTTCAGATTTATCAGTCATGTTAGACCCGAGATTATTTCAGTAAAACCAGTTAAATATTTAGTTCGAGTCGATCATCTTAGCAGTTATTTTCAGTCAGTCTGAGCATAGTACTTAGTGTTTGTTTATTTATATATTTTTACAGTTTGATCTGCAGCAGTACTTACAGTTTCAGACTAGCAGTTCAGATGGGGACTCAGACTAAGTATTACATTGAGTATAATTACAGTTATCATGTTCAAGGTATGTATATTCAGTTTCTGCTCAGTGAGGCTAGACAAAGTAAGACCATCTGATTTCTAGAGGCGTAATCTTCCCACTAGAGTTTGCACATAGGATTCCGGCGCAGCTCATATAGCCGGCAGATACAGTATTCGATCCCGTAGCAGATACGGTTGATCGCAGTTACAGTTACATGACATGACAATTCCAGTTATATATACCATTGATATTGCAATTATTATTGTTGTTTACTTTAGTATGAGTTTCTGCGGAGCATAGTGGCTTTTAGTGCTCACGCCCCCACTATGTTATTCTTTTTCAGGTCACAGGGTCGGTCCTGAGGAGTGAGCGGAGCCGGTGGTCGTGGGTTTGAGTACATATCATTTTGCAGACTTTTGACGTGTATATACTTATTTTGCCACGATTTTACTTCCGCTGTTACTTTCAGGTTTTTCGAACTCGCATGTTAATTTCCAGATTTTGATTCGATTTGTCAGTCGGATTTTTGTACAGTATTACATGCCAGTTTGATTAAAAAAATCCATTTTTCTTAACAAGTTTAACATAGAAAAGATAACGGATTTTTAGAAAAGAAAAGTTTCTCAGTAGCATCCTGAATCACGATTTCGCAAACTAATCAGTATTTTTCAAGTAAACTTTTGCGAAAATTTTACTTTGGTTTTAATAAGCTAGCGGGGTGTTACAATTATAAAATAATTACAATTAACTATATATTACTAATATTTAAGCAAACTAATCATAATTACTATTATTAATTATTACTCTTTCTTAAAATACATTATTAAATATTCCAAGTAATTATTTTCCTAAAAAGTATAAAAAAATCAATAAACTAATTATTCATAACCACATAATTAATATAATTCTACTTTTTGATTATTTAATTATACAAACTAATTAATCAAAAAAATTATACAAGTTTTGGAACTTATATTAGAATACAAATTGTAACTTTTTAAACTAATAATTACCTAACAATCTATTTTATTACATATATTACAACTAATTTTTTTTTTCCTGAAAATACTAAAGTTAGATGCATTATCCTATTAATAATTAGTATTATTATATAATACTTTTAATATAATATATTATTTATAAGTAACATATTATTAATAACTACTAAACTAAAATTTATCTAAATTAACCTATGTCAAAAAATCAATTCAATTCTTTTTTAAAATATTTAAACATAATTAAATAATTTCAATTATTACAATTTTTTAAAAAAAAAAAACAAAAAACTTAAAAAAAATTCAAAATAGCCAACGGCCAACCGACGAAGCTGCACTTGCTGGTTGTCTATAGGCCCTTAAAACTGGGCGCGCTGGCAAACATACCACATCGCGGCCGGCCGCACCCTCGCCCGTCGACCGACACAGAAATCATTAAATATTTTTAAAAAAATTATTTGCTAATCGAAAAAAAAAGACATAGCAAATGAATCATGAGAGCTTTGCCTCGGCCGCGGTGACGAATTGTCATTCTTTCGGTATTTTTTGGTGACAATCCGTTGAGAGGAGGTTGAGAGAAATTTCAAAAAATTTTAAATGAAAGAAAGTTATGAGAGGGGAAAACAGCCAAGGGTGGCGATAGGTAGTAAATAGGGGGGTGGGGGGGAGAGAGGGTGGGAGCGGTCAATAGCAATTTCGCAATACGAATTGCCATTCTTTCAGATTTTTGGTGAGAATATGTCGAGCGGAGGTTGGGAGAGATTTCAAATTTTTTTAAAAGAAAGAAAATTATGAGAGGGGCAAACGGTCAAGGGTGGCGATAGGTAGTAATAGGGGATGGGCGGTGAATAGCAACTTCGCAATCCAAAAACCACCCAGTCGACAACAAAAATAAAAAAATAAAACATAAATAAAAAAAAAAAAAAAAAACATCCTCTTTATATATAATTCTTAAATGCTTTGAGCCTAAGTGGCAGACTCGCATGTTTCGGGATCTTATGTGTCAAAATTTCATGCTTCATTATTTGGATTGGATTGATTATAGTTTATTCCAATCCAAATATAATTAAGTCTGAATGTTGATTATTTATAGTTATTTTAGATGTATTAATTGTATTTTAGTATTATTTCTTGTTATAACCATTGAATTGCAAATGTATTTCAAAAGTTAATAACTTTTGTATTTCTTATCAGTTTTACGTATATAATATATCAAATTAATCATCTTTTGATGAGTTTCGGTTTGACATCCATATTATATATATAAAATAAATAAATTATATTATCAATATAATAATAATACAATATTGTAATAATTAGAAAAATAAAATTATTTATTAAATAATATATTTTTTTTTTTAAATCAGTTATATGGTATACGCTGGAAAAATTATTAGAATATATCTCAAGTAAGCACAAATAACAAGTTTCATTCTCAAATATATAATAACTAGTACAACTCTCGTGTATTACACGGGTGCTTGTTAATTTTTTTTTTCTTAAAATCTAAAATTAAAGAGAAAAAATAGTTAAAAAATTAAATACCTTTTATAAAAATATATATTATTATATATCTAGTATGACACTTTTTATTTGTGCGACTTACCTGTGTTATATTATAATAATTTTTTTAACTTACAACATATAACTACATTAATCAAAATATATCAATTGAGAAATAATTTTATTTTTCTAATGAATTTTAATAGAATATAATTAGTTTTTATTATTATAAATATAAATATAATTTATTTATATCAATATATAATATGAATGTCAAATCGAAGATCATCAAAAGATGATTAATTTGATATATTATATATGTAAAACCGATAAGAAATACAAAAGTTATCAACTTTTAAAATACATTTACAATTCAATAGCTAATTGAAGGAAACAAATCAAAAGTCATGGATATATTAGTCACTTAGTGTCTCACTATTTAAAATTACAAGAAATTAAAGGGTTATATTAGTACAAGTGATATTAAAATACCTAAGTTAGCTAAATAATATTTATGAAATGTTCAAACCTAGATTATTAATTATTAATATATTAATATTATTTATCCAAACCTAATTACGAAGCATGATTCTTCGCCAAGTAGGATTCCAAAGCACCAGAAGCAGCCACGTAGGCTCAACGCATTCGAGAATTATATATATGGAGGATATATTTTTTTGTAAAAAACATTTAAATTTTAAAACAACTTTTCTCATTAATTTTAAAATTTAGGAATATTGTTTAACAAGCACCAGTGTAATACACAAGTACCCGTGTAATACACAAGTATTGTACTAGTATCATTTTATTCGCATATCAAATGACATATCCTAAACAACTCACAGTCTTCGTGCAAAAAAAAAAAAAAAAAAAAAAAAAAAAAAAAAAAAAACATGAGAAAAAGTCTTCCCGAACCAAGGCTACTCGCCTGAGTGCCATATGGACATCAGCACCACTTATTTAACTCTCGCCCAAAATTACGTCAGAAAAATTCCGTCCAACAACAAACTTCCAATGCACGAATTCCAACATTTATGTAATGACAGTGGGCGCAGATCGGCCGGTGTATTCTTGCATTTTGGACAGCTTAAGAGCAACCTCAACCTACATTCAAGTAAAACCACATTTCAGCGTGTATAAAAAAATAGGTCGTGTGCAAGAAATATGAGAGATAGAACGTGTAATAAAGATATGTAGATAAATCACCAGTGGAGCAAGTGCCTCTTGAGAATCTCTTCCAGTCTTGGATGGATCCTGCTCGTATTGTTCTATGTAAAGACGGATAGTAGCACCCTCTGAACCAGTTCCAGAAAGTCGGAAAACCTGTTGAATTATGGTTCACCATTATCATAAAATCTTACGGTGATTTTCTGACAGTTTCAACTTCAGCAGTCATGTAATAGTGTGATTATATAGACATTTTGTCCATATTGGCATTCTCAAGAATGTTCAAGTTAACTTAGTTGAAGAGCTTAAAACCTGCCTCGAATGTGATTGTAAAGATATCGAGTGATTTACCAGACGTGACCCATCTTCAAACATATATCTGATGCCCTGGTGCTTTGAAACAGACCCATCAACAGGGTCTTTGTACTCGAATTCATCAGCATGGACAACTTTAGAGACTTCTGGGCGGATTCCCTCTATGATGCTGCAATAGCATAGCAATATGTATGCGTTCGTTTTTATTTTCTAAGGGGAAAAAACGAGATAAGAAAAAATAAAACACACACACACACATCAATTAAATATGTAGTATAAACAATTATTGAATGAGTGTGAATAAATTATGAACTCTTTCATCAAATTAATTGTAAAGGGCAAGGCATCAGTCTAGCACAAATTCAACAAGGGAAAACTAAAATGAAAAGGTGTTTACCCGTTAACTTCATCAAGGGAAGATTGCAGCTTGACCAAATAGGCCATCAGTTCCTTTGCGCTGCCGGCATCAACATTCTTCAAAACATGGAAAATTAAAATTAACAAATAATTTCTGCAGACAATAATGTTGATCTGTTACAATACGTTACAATTAAAGGGCATCGATGCATCCATATCATAAGTACATACCTCATAGTCATATCGAGTATAATAGTGGCGCCCATAAGTGGACCAGTGCTGGCGGACAATGTCCTCAACACTGACTAGTTTGTCTTCTTCCAAATTGTCTTTGTTCTTATAGGCAAGAATGGACAGCCAAGCCAAAACAGCCCATATTCCATCTTTCTCACGTATGTGATCCGAGCCTGTTAACATGTCGTATATAATTATTAATAAAATATGTAATATCCAACTTTATAAAACAGTGCCGACTCTATAACAAGAATACAAGTCTTGCCAGTTCCAAAACTTTCTTCACCACAAACAGAGCACATTCCAGCATCCATCAAGTTGCCAAAGAATTTCCATCCAGTGGGCACCTTCACATTTGAGATAACACATAAACCTCTAAAAGTAACCACCTCACCACCAGGATTAATTATAGCACTATACATAGTAAAATATAGCATTCTCACGGTTCTAGGATAGATTTTTGTTTGAACCACATTATATATACATATACATACATACATTTAGGGAGTGGTTCCACTGAGAACCATCCTTAAAATGATAATGCAAGGATAAATCAGATTATCCATTAATCTAGATCTAACGGATGAATTGGCCATAGAAATATATGTCTTTATTCTTCTAAATATGCATCATTGAATAAGTGAATACACATCGATCAACTTCCAAAACTGCAGTAATGCTGTTATTCTGAAATTAAATACTTGTTTTTCTCCTTTTATATCCTCCATTAAATTCACTCCAATCAAAATTACTCTATATTTGTCAAAATTCACAAATATTTTTCAGAGTAAATTACTCCATAATACTCCTTTCAATCAAAGGAACAAAACTCGGACCATTTTTCTACGTAAAGGTTTTATATTATGAGTTCGAAATGACAGTATTTTGAAAACATATTTTGCAAATTGGAAAACTATTGCCCTTTTAGATATTTGTTAATGCATGTTTAGATAAGTTTATTAGAGAACACTAGGAAGAATAAATGCAAAATTCAAATTTTGTTTCTGTATTTGAAATATTTATTTTGGTCACCTAATGGTAAACCATCTTATTGCACATTTAGAGACGCGTGAATGCACAATTATGTGTTTTAACGTACACATAAAGGATTGATTTATTGTTGTACATTCTTTGGATAAAAGTAACCAATTCAATCTAAATTTACTTGAATGGCTAGGATTTGGCATGTTCTTATTATAAGAAGTGGTTGCCATTGGAACCAAATCCTATACGTATATATTTCAAGACGGTATTATATATAATTATGTGTAAAATAGATTGTTTTTGTTTACCTCAAAGAATTTCAGGTTAAGGTTCTTAGCAACGACATCAAGAGCAGCTGACGTGGGCATGCTCCTGAAATATATGACAATATTTCATAATTCAGGAGAAGCAAAAGAGAAGGATAGAAAAAGAATAAAAAGAGGAGCCCTTAACGAGAAGTACACAGAGAAAGACAAACCTTGCGACTCCTTTTAAACCACCAGCAAAGTACGGTATTGCTTGGACCGCATTTGCAGCTATTATAGCAACGGAGTCTGATGGAGTGACAAAAAACCTGAAGAGGTAATTAATGTAATAAATAAACTAGGAGTGTGTTTGGTAAGCACCATATAATAGCTTACAGCTTTTTTAGTTAATTTAAAAGCCTATGTTTTCCAATAAGTGGCGCTAGGTAGGACGCGTTTTTTCATATACTCAATATTATCTCAGATTCAACTAATTTTTCCAAGCACTTTTATTATATCATCTAGCTTTTAGTCATCAACCACCAGATATCAACTATCATCTCAAAATTAACTTATGAGCGATCAGTTAACTTATCGGCTATTAATTAGATTTTCAGCTGATCTACTAACATACCCAATATGTCAATATTAATATTTTTTCAAACAAAAAAA